GGGGAAAAAAAGAGTCCAAGCCAAATTAGGTAGGAGATAAGATAAGGATACAAAAGTTTTAATGAGCCCCCAGGCTTTCTGGAATACCCCCAGCGCGCGCTCCCGAAATACAGATGTCCACAGTTTTTATAATGATTTTTGCCCAATCCCCGTCCTGTTACCACCCAGGTTCTGCCCCCGCCACGCCTCTTGGGAATTGGGTCTGGGGGCGTTTTGGGACCCCCTCTTCTTCATCTTCATCTTCCTCAGAGCACGTAATGTCCTTGGAGGCCTTCCAGAATTCTAGGCCTGAAGGTTGTTGGGTCTATGGCTATATCTTGTTCCGTAGGGTTAGGGTGTTCTTCTACAATTCTACCTTGAAAAAGAGACTAAACAGGCTATGGAATTTAGGGAATTGATAGGGGAATGGGTAACAGGGGTTTGAGCTGGTGTGTTAAGGGTAAAGGGATAATATGCTGCTACTCTAAAATCTACATTTACTACATAACTACTTCTAAGGTCTACAAAAATAAAAAAATTAAAACATCAAAACTCCAAGGTATCACCTAAACAGTTTATCATTAGTGCTCCCAGATTTCACATGCTGCTTAAGTCCCTTCAGAATTGTTTGTCCTTGGTGTATTTATGGTACTAATTTATTTGCATGTCATCTCTTTCTTATCTTTCTTCTCTTTACCCTGAGTGAACTACAGAGTTATGCAGGCTCACACCGTAGCTACTTATCCATGACATTGTTCTGGGTTCTCAATATTTTTTTTAGGCTGAGAACTGATTGTTTGAGAGCATTATTTTTCCATCCATAATGAAGAACAGAGCATCTGTGTCTTTTATATCTCTGCACTGGGGTTTGTGCTCCAAATCACGTTCTGTTTATCTGAATTTTCATTGTTCCAATGCTGCTGCATATTCAACCGTGTTGTGTAACTCCTGGACACATAAACCAGTAACTGAGAACTATCTTTTACATGGAAAGCAAAGGAAGAGTATGAGCAAGTGTATTTTCCTGTGCATTTCAATACATCCTGCTGTGTGCCAAAGCTCTCATGGTCTCCTTTTTCAGTCCTCTACTTCAGGTCCCCTGACCTTTACCAGATCTTTCCTGATATTCCCTCAGGCCTTTCTTCTAGCTGGAGGAGAACTTAAAAGCTTCCCTGTATGATTCATATGAGAGCTACAGGAATAGTATCAGGAAAACTTATTAAACATCCTCTGACATTCAGTTACTGACAGGACTTTGGCTAGGGAAGCACAATGTATTACTTAGGAAGTAAAAAAAAAAAAAAAGTCTGGATGCAGTTCATAATCCAGAGAGCCTTAATTTACAGGAATACAGTTGCAGGCACATAGCTTCTCAGCAGAACCAGTGAATGCAGTAATTTCCATGCTGTTTGTTTAGGAACCCTCTGAAAACAACTTAGGAAATGGAAAAAGTAAAGAAAAAAACCCTACAGCTACATAACTGAAAAGAGGAGGGTGGGAAAGTCCACAAATGGAACAGTAATTCCAGAAACAGCATATAAAAAAGAAAGCTATGAAGTTACATTGAATATTATAATCAACTTGAATTTCTTCTTGTTCATGTATCACAGTAGATCCATGTCCTTTGAACTGGTGAATAGTGAACATCCAAAAAGCATCCAACAAGCAGTCTAAAAATCTCATCTAACCTGGTAGCAGCCAATATCTGGCTGCATGCAGATATGTTATTGCTTTTTCCCTTTATGTATAAGAGTTGAAAATGAAACCCGTCTGGAGAATCCTCAGATAAAGTTTTAGCCACTTGAGAGTTGATGTGTTTATTTAATTATTTATTTAAGATTTCTGTTGATGAATGTCTATCATTGACAGCTTTAATCCATGATGTGGAATACCTGGAGCAGAGGGTGTTTTTATATTCAGTGTAGAGTACTAGAGTCAGTATTAATAGGCAGAGATCTTGATATCATGTTATAACTTCCAATAGCATCTCCTAAACCAGGATAGTTTGAAAGTGTAGCTTCAGTATCTTGCAAGTGCTGGATGTATGAAGTGAGACTTGGAAATTTATTGGATGTCTGGGTGTTTCTGTTTTATCCTGGTGTCCTGTCTTATCCCAACCTCCCAGCTTTGTAATGCTGCTGTCTTCTGATGGCTGAGTTTCATTTTTATATATTAATACTGAACCTTCCTAAATTTACATTGTTGGTTATGTATACATGTATTTAGCAGTATAACCAACTATTTAATTAAACAATTTTCTAGGTACCATTGTACTATGATGTGTATTTACCTTTTTTTATTTTTTTAAGTTTGTGCCTTAACCTGAAATTATCAAGAGATAGATAATATACTTTTTTAACTCTGGCTGGCATTTTTTAACAACTCTCTGTAAAAATGGGCCTATATTTCATGAGCATTAAAACCAAAAGAACTAACAGAAGGTGGACACATTCCAAAGAATATTTTGGCCTTCAAAATGTAATAACAATAATATTGTTATTGTTGATATATGTAATATATGTTAATATATGTAATTTGTCATATTGTTAATATATGTCATCCCATCATAGAAGCTCAGACTTCTATGACAATCTTCTTCCAGTGGCTCAGCTTTCTAGTTTAAGTCGTACCAAATGTCGGTTTTTCCAAGACAAAAAACAGTCTTATTCCTGTGGTAGTATCTCCCATATATGGATTATTTTTGCCCAGAGACAGGGGAGAAAATCCCATCATGACTGAAATCCTAAAGCTCCAGATATGGTATTAATTTTCCCTGCTAGTTTAAACATTATCTGTATCATCTACTTTGTCATGAATGTGATCTCTCAGCAAAACAGTATTTAAATTTTATTTTCTTTAAGTGGTGCTGTGTTGAAGAAGTCCTATCTTCTTTACTCCATTACTTGTATGTAAAAAGAGACTTTTGGTGTAGTTGTTAGGCCTATATAATAACTACTATAATAGAGGAAAAGTCCTTTGTGCTTTGATGAGTAAACAAAACCATGAGCTGTAAATTCTCTTATAAACGAGAGGAATTTCCCAGTAATGTGGTTCTCTAAAGCTGAGCAGCCTTTGTGTGCCTTTTCACTGGGGATCTATTCTGTTATTGGAATCCATTATTCCAGCTCACTAAAACAGGACATCTTTCATACAGGGATAGCAAAAATTCTTTAGAATTTTTTCAATTCCACCTTTTGCTACTACTACTTAATCCAACTCTTAATGAACTGTAAAACTAGCTGGCTTTAATCCTTCTGCATCAAAAATGCAGTCAAATTAAAAAATGTAACTCCACCTGTCATTCAAATATAACGATCTGTTTCTTTCCACGTGACTTGGTTAGTCACTACTCACAAAAGTAAAAAATAATGTATGTAAACAAGAGTTGTTAGTTCTTTCAATGTTGAGGTTGATCACTATGAAATTTCTTTGGGGATTTACCAAAATAAACTTGAATTCAACCTAAGTGAACTTTTGGTGCTTTGAAGCTGTATGAAAGACTTCCTCACAAAAATGCACAAATTAAGAAATCCTAGTGGGTCTTGTACTGTTAATAAAAGTAAACCCTGCTACTGAAAGGTTTGGTTTCAGCTCACTTAGATATGTTAATGTACAATAATATTTTTGGTCTCTAATTTGGAATGTATGTTGAGTTATCAGTCTCTTTAAACTTCTGGTAAACTTGCTGTAGCAATATTATGAGTTCCTTCATATTTTAGCAATAAGTCATTGAATATACAATTCTTTTCCCATATAAAAATAAGTATCTGACTTAAATACCCTCCAGCTTTTCTCCAAGCAGCTTTACTGTTTCTTGTTGAATTAAACAGATGGCTGAGACACACTGGTGGAGCACAAGGCCACTTACAGCTAGAGAGCTTGGCGCCTTGCAAGTAAACAGTTGCTTGTCCAAGAAGTCCAGTTCCTCTCCATCATTCCTATCCAGTGTCTATAAAGGATAGCCTGGGGAGGCTACTTCAAGAATTGCCTGTGGTGTAGGTTTAGAGCCTGTTATGTCCCTACTATAGCCCCCACTCCCATTATCCCCCCTCAGATGTGCTGGTTGGACAAGATCTGTATGGAAATTAATGCATGATCTTTTCCCCACCTGCAAGAGCACAATTCTCTCCAGAAAAGGATGAGGATATTCAGGCATACCTTTCTCTTTCTTCAGCCAAGCCACTGCTTGTCTTTAAAACATGGAACCAACCCCTCCCTGCCTTCTTCTCAGCCATGTACTCTTTAATGGAAACTTATCACTTGTCAAAAGAAAAATGCTTAAAATAAGAGTGTAAATATATTTTGCAGGTAGACAGAAACTTACTCTAACCATCTTTATTTAATGGTCAGTGTGGTCACTAAGTACAATGGAGAATCTGGACTTGATCCATCTGTTTCTCTTCTGCTCCTTTCCCCTTCCACCTGAATATCACCTTCATGTTCTGTCCTTTGCTGGTCTGGGGCTCCTCTCTGCTCCTGGGGCAGTAGGCAGGCCTGGGAGCCCTGGAGCAGCTGGGGCTGTTGGGTGCCAGACTGGGGCACCCGTTGGTGCTGCCAGGATTGCAGCTTGGATAAGTGTCCTCTGGAGAAGAAAGGTGGCTGAGCTACTTCGAGTGTGTTGTCTTTTTTCCTTAGCTTTGTTTGACCCTCCGCGGTACCCTTTGCTCGGCGCTGAGCACACACACCCGTCTGCTCTTCTGGGCTATGCTGCCAGCTCTTAGCTGGGATGAGCCCAATAAGGAGCAGCCTACTTCTGCAAAATGTTTTCAGTTAATGCTCAGGAAGAGTAAAACCCGAAGTGTGTCGGTGAGTTGTTTTGCTCTTGCTTGCTTTCTTCCCCCCTAGCCCTCCTCTCCGTGCTCAGCGCTATCGCACCTGTCTCGGCTGGGACGAGCGGGGACCGAGGACCCCCCCAGCGCTCCCCAGGCCTCCAGTCTCCCCTCCTGCTCCCCAGCCGAGGATGCCGCCGCTCCCCTTTACCCCAGCTCTCTCTTCCCTTTGCCCGTCCGCCGTCCACTCACCGGCAAAGCGAAGAGGACAGCGGGGGCCGACTCCCAGGACCTCCGGCAGCTCGGGAAGCCCCGGCCGGGCCGGCGGCGGTCGCTCCCTTCGCTCTCACCATGCGGTGTCCGCGCCCCGGGCTCGGCAGAGCCTGGGCGGGATATGGTGCCCTGTCCTCTCCCGCCCCTCCGGTGGGGAGCTGGCCGGGACTCCGAGAGCTGCAGAGCGGATTTCCCCTTTCCCCGGACTGAGCCCGGCTCTGTACCCGGCTGACCGGTCGCACACAGCGCTCTGCACCCTGCGGCTTTTCCCGCCTCAGCTCGGCTTGAACCCCTGTTTTGCAAACCTATGGGAATCAGAGATTGTTTCCGTCTGCAGCGGGGAAGCCGCCCTGAGGGTGACGTGTTAATTTACGTGAGGAACACCAGGAAATCAGAAATCGCATCTCGGTTTGGGATTATTCCAGTGCCTGATCCAACCGTAGGATTGTCACTCTTGTCACTTTCTCTGATAACGAGCACGTGTTCTGAAGTAGCTTGGTATGTGTTGTTTCCTTTAGTGGAGCTGCCTTACAAAACTAGTTCAAGATCTGGAAAATCTCAAATATGTAACACATTATCGCATATGTTAACTTAAACTGATATTTTTGTGACTTCCATGGGTCCAGCACATCTGCTCTGTGTTAAACGACACACAGGGTTTGGGGCTTTTTTCCAAGGGAAAACAACTAACTTAGCAGTTCTAATTTCTTTCTGTAAGATCATATTTATTTTTGCTTCACATCTAAAAATGTTTAGAAAAGTGTTGCGCAGAAGTCTCTGGATTCAAAGGGATTATTTTGTTATGTAAGTCATGAAGAATTTGTGAAATGATGTTTTTGCAAACAGCATTGTTATGCACTTAGTAACTTCATCGTCTGTGAAACTGGTGAACAGTAATCATAAACTTTGCACAATTCCTCCCCACCAAGAGCAAATAAGAAAATACAGGAAATACCCATGTCCCGGCTCTCTATCTAGGAGGATAATATCCTTTGTCAAAAAGTGCACCTCTGTCAGTGAGGAAGTGTTATAGCCATTAACTACTTCCTTGGTGCTACTAGGGCAGTCTTTTTGCTCTTGAATTAAGTGTCCCACTGCAATTAAGATAAAACCAATTTCTTAACAGATGTTTCCTTGAGTCTTGTCTTATGTAGGTATTTGGTCCTGCAGGTGGTCGGAATAATCTTGTGCAAGAACCTTCTCTTTGTCAGTGTTAGGCAGTACCCGTAATGTGCTTGAAGATGTCAAGAGGATGGAGCCGGGCTCTTGTTGATGGTGCTGAGCAATAAGAGGCAATAGGCAGAAAATGACACACAGGAAGTTCCACCTGAACATAAGGAAGAACTTCTTTACTCAGTAGATGACAGAACACTGGAACGCATTGCCCAGAGAGGCTGTGGAGACTCCCTTAACTGGACATATTCCAGAACCTTCTGGGCAGAATCCTGGGTTGTGCTCTGGGATGACTCTACTTAAGGAGGGAGGTTGGACCAGATGATGAACTGTGGTCCCTTCCAACTTGAACCATCCTGTGATTCTATACTGAGAGGCTTTATACTGGAAAATGTTCTGCAAGACATGAACACCCTTTCTTGCTTATGCCTGTTACACAATTACTTGAAGAACAACTTCTGTGCTACCAGCTTATGCTTACTCACTATCCACTCAATAATATTCAGCTTCACTTCTGCAGCAGTTTCATGCTCAGTTTCCTTTGCTATTATTTTGATCCTTGTGGGTCCCTTCCAACTCAGAATATTCTGTGTGAAATGACCTACTGGCTATGTGAAAATAGGTTTTAGGTAGGCCCTTTGGAAAAACAATCAGTAACGTTTCATATAACACGAGCTTGCAACTGCTCTGTGTGCTTATTCTCCTTTGGACCTCTTCCAGCTAGACAATGTTTTCTGCAAGCACAGCCAGAGATGATCTGGAAGACTTAAACCTGTGCTGCAGTGTTACTGTGAGATGTTCCCATCTCCCAGCAAGGAGGTCCTGTTCCAAACAGGATTTAGCTAACATCCTTTAAAATATCAGGGACTTTGTGCTGTTGAAGTTAGAACTGGCATTTCCGTTTAGATAGAAAGGACCAAAGTAAATCACAGAATGGGTCAGGTTGGAAGGGACCACAGTGGGTCATCTTGTCCAACTTCCCTGCTGAGTCATGGTCATCCCAGAGCACATGGCACAGGATTGCATCAAAACTGCTGAGGAATATTCCCAGTGAGGGAGACTCCATGCCCTCTCTGGGCTCAGTCACTCCGACAGGAAAGAAGTTCTTCCTCATATTTAGGTGGAACTTCTGTGCATCAGTTCCTGCCCATTGTCTCTTATCCCATTGCTCAGCACCACTGAGCAGAGCCCAGTCCATCTTCTAATCCCTCCCTGTAGTCACTGACAGACATGGATGAGGTCGCCTCTCAGTCGTCTCTGCTCAAGGCTGAACAGCCCCAGCTCCCTCAGCCTTTCCTTGTAAGGGAGATGCTCCAGTTCCTTCATCATCTCCCAAGCCTCCGTAGGACCTGCTCCAGGAGCTCCCTATCTTTCCTGTCCTGAGGAGCCCAGAACTGGACACAGCACTGCAGACACACCTTACCAGTGCTGAACAGAGGGTCAGGATCACCTCTCTGACCTGCTGGCAATGCTCTTCATAATGCACCTCAGGATAACCATCGGCTTCCTTAATACACTGGCCTCCCCAGGATACACTGCTGGCTCAGGGACAGCTTGTTGTCTACCAGGATCCAGTGATGGACTGAAGTGTTGTTAATGTCTTAAGCATTGTCAAAATCATAGGAAGACTTTCTGTCAAACTGCAAGGAAGCAAATGCCTATTGGTGACCAGGGAAGCCTGACTGGAATTTGAACTGTGAAGGGGGACTTGAGATAAGACTATTGTCTGATCGTCTCAGATGTGAGGAGAAGTAAACAAGGCTCAGGAAAGAAGAATATCTGTGTTAAGAATCCTCCCTAGCTGAGCTCAGCGAGTGGTGGGGGAGAAGAGTTTTGTGGGTGTGATGGTGAAATCTCCCCACACCAAAGTAAACCTCGCCCCTCCAGGAAGACCGTGTGTGCATGGGACATTCATGTAGGAAGCAGCTGAGAAGGGGTCACAAACCATCAAAGACCCCCAGAGCATCCCCCCAACTCGTTTCTGAGGCCTTCCACGCCAGAGGACTGCACATGATCCAAGTGAGGTAACAAATCCAGAGCCTGTTGCAAGTGACTGCAAAGCTTCCCCCGCACCATGGAGCTGCCTGGCATCTCCTGAATGTCCACTGGACTCTGTTTTGTGGGACCCTCACCATGGAGAAGACCAGAAGAACCAGACCAACAGGACACTGCTGGGTTCCACAGTGGTGATACATTTCCTATTTTAATCTCTGTCACTTTCTTTCTCCCCTCCCCCCCTCACACTTTTTCCTATTTCTATCTCCCTTTCTCTGCCTCACATTTACGATTAAATAAAACCCATACTATTGACTTTGGTATCTAGTCTTGTTTTCATCTTAATTCAGGTAGGAGCATTTCTAGTAATTTTAGCAACTGGATAATAACATATCCCCAGGTTCTTCTCTGCAGAGCTGCTTTCCAGCAGGCCAGCCAATTAAAATAAATGAGCTAAATTATCCCTTCCTGCATATAGTGTTGCAGGAGACAACTGAGGGTGGGATGTTGTACACCACGACCGAAAGAGCTACAGTTGTTATTAAAAGGAGCTTGGGGGATGTGCCTCTGTTGTCTCATGCTATAGAACTCTGTATTTTGAAATTGTAACTCTTGTGTTGTGAGACAGAGTTACAGAAGGTGTTGTAACATGTGTATTAACAAGTTCACATGGATTGAGGTCTATTCAAAAGCAGAATTTCAAAATAGCCATACAAATTTGACAGGCTTTTCAAGATTCCTGTTGTTATAAACGTTCAAAAGTGCATTATTTTTGTCAAAGGATACTCAGAGATAGCCCTTCAAACAAAGTCTGATAGAATTTCAAACAAAGCAAAGGGTTTATGGTTTGTGATATGGAGCATTGCTGATTTACACCAACATTAATTTTAATTTGGAAAAACTGAGCAACAGGCTGTAAGTGTTTGTCAATGTTTGGGTTTAACTTTGTTTAAATGTCCATTAAATGGCTGCATGACCTCTATTCATGTTTTTAGTTCTGCAAGTTAGACTTTAGAGTACTGCAAACAATAAATTAAATTAGATTTTTAATGTAATGCACAGGCTATTTTTTATAATAAATGATGACCAAATAAACAAATCTGCCCATGGATGTGAGTGAATCTTTGCAAATTCTTGTTGGTGCCTAGTATGTTAAAAGTAGTAGTATGTGATAGACAGCTAAAATTTGTTCTGGAATTGTTATTCTGTATTTTCTTACCATTTTCTTCCATTGATTCTTTTGGATGTAAGCAATCTTCAGTTACCAGTATGTATTTGGAATAATTGTAAGCTTTATGGGTTTAATGATAAGCATGACTTGCCACTCCCAATGCACATAGACTGTTAAATTATTCTGTATAACTTGCCACATGGGAGATCATTTAATGTCATTAAAGTCACTTAGTGATTTTTTTCTCCTGTTTGAAAAGCTGCCACTTGAATTGGTTTTATTCTCTCTCTTTTAGTTGTGTCCCTTTTCATAATTATTGCAATATTTTACCTTATTTCAATTAATAAACTGTTCTTCTTTCAACCCACAGGTTTTACCTTTTTCTGGTTCTCCTCCCCATCCCACTGGGGGAGGGAGTGAGCAAGTGGCTGTGTGGTACTTTGTTTCCAGCTGGGATTGAATCAGGACAAAGCTGTAAAGCATTCTCTACATCTCCTCTGTGGCACCAGACAGTATGTTTTTACTGTCATCTTCTGAATAAATCTGCTTGGGAATCATTGTCCTCTGATAATGAGCTGAATAGAGAGGCTCTTCCCTACTGACTCTGCTGCAGAGCAGGTGTTTTCCCAGTCATCCTGTTATTGGTGTGCAGGGACTATGAACAGGGAAGTTGTAAAAAGCTATCCCTATGAGTTTGGTGTTGACACTGGATTCCAGGGTTCCTGCCTCATGATCTACTTATGTAGGTGTGGGAGAATATGCCCACATGTTGGGGAGCCCAGCTGGTTCTGGGCTCTCAGTAAACTGAGATATTGAAGATGGAACTTCTTACACCTGGCAGAGGGT